TTCTGTGATTCTGTGATTCTGTGATTGGTGTTGTATTGTCATGAATGATTCAAGACATGAAATAGGCTGGTTTTGAAATTCAACTTATTTTAAAAACTTTTTTGTAGTGTAGCAAAACCTGATTAATTAAAAAATCTGTTGTTTTATCTTGTAGAGCTTTTTGATAACTACATGCAGCAGGATGCACATGAATTCTTAAATTATCTATTAAATACAATTGCGGATATCTTGCAAGAAGAAAGAAAACAAGAGAAACAAAATGGTCGCCTACCTAACGGGAACATTGACAATGAAAAGAACAGCCCGCCAGACCCTACCTGGGTTCATGAAATCTTTCAGGGAACTTTAACTAATGAAACCAGATGTCTTACGTGCGAAACTGTAAGTCTGGGTATACTTCATAAAATGAATTTTTCCACGTTTCAGAACTTCATGTCTTGTGATTCATTTATCTCAACAGACTAACATACTAGATTAGTTTCTATCTTTAGAAATCTTACATTCATATGAACATTTGAATTTTTTTTTGTTAGTGAGAAAATTTCAACAGCTGATGCATGAATTAGAATCATAAAATCATTATGTTTGGAAAGACCTTTAAGATCATCAAGTCCAACCATTGTCTAACTCTACTGTGCCCACTTTTAAACCATGTCCCTGAGCACTGTGTCTAGAAGGCTTTTAAATACATCAAAAGATGGTGATTTCACCACTTCCCTGGGCAGCCTGTTCCAGTCTTTGATAAACCTTTTAGTGTTAGTTTTCCTAAAGTCTAACATAAACCTACCCTGGCGTAACTTGATGCCACTTCCTCTCATCCTATTGGTTGTAACTTTTGAGAAGAGACCCACACCCACCTCTTTACAAACTCCTTTCAGGTAGTTGTAGAGAGCGATAAGGTCTAATTGAAGGAAAATAAATTTGGTCGATATTAGGAAAATGCCCAATTGATTTTTTTTTTTTTTTGTCAGCATGATCATAATTAACTTCAAAATTTAGATTAGAAAATTTAAATTTATGTATTCCTAAGAGCAATGAAGCCTACTACTTGGGGATGTAGAGTTATTCTCTAATTACCTTAATGTCTTGCTTAGTGATCCACGTCATAAATAAGTATTTTGAATCAGTTTCCACCAATTTCTAGCTTTTAGATTTAAAGCTATTGAAACCCATTTACTATGCCTGGGTTTTGGCACTGAGACAGTAGACTGGGATTCTCAAAGAACATAACTTAATGTGCAATAGAAGTAGTTGTTTCCTAAATGTCTGTCCACAGGAATTCCTCTAATACTAGACCTTGAGAAATAAACTCCTTTGTGTAAGCTATGCTGAAATTTTCTTTGAGAATAGTTCTACAATAAGAGAAAGTATACATTTCAGAAAAACTTATAATTGAATTTTACCTGCTTTTTTAAAGAAAGAGGAAAAGCAGCACAATTTGAAAATTACAGTAATTCTGTCATGGTCTATGCCTTGAATATTGTAAAAAGCTAAATGACTGTATTTTTTTGTATGACTCTTCATAGCTATTTCCCTTTACTTATTTAGGTAGTGCCCGTGTTTCAGCATGACATTGGAAAGGAGGAATTAGTCAAAATAAATCTATATAGTTTACATGTATTTTTTTCCATCTTCTAGAAATTCTCACCTCTCTTATTTCAAAGAAAATAGCTTCCTAATGTTGCTTGTAATATAACTGCAGACTTCAGTAGATCATGGCACTTTGAGCTATTTAGGTGCTGATTTCTAGCTACCATATTTTCTTTTCTGGTAGATTTCCCCTCCCTAATAACTGTTTCATGGCAACTGTCAATTGCTTCTCTTTTAGATCTGGAACTGAATTTTTTTCTTCCTGAAACGTGAGTGTAGCTTAGTCTCTTCATGTGACTGAGGTCATTACCTTTTCTCACTATGGCATAGTGAATTACGGCTGTCAGGATTTTGATCTAGGTACAGTCCTTAATTAAAACTTAAAATGCTGATATGCTCATTCCCAGCATATTTTATTAGTTATCAGGCCTATCACAATTTGGAGAGTTTTAGCATATTAGGGCCTTTGTGTTCCAAGCCTTAATAATCTGGAAACTATTTTACCAGCTTCTGTCTATTGAACATATCAGTGTTTGTCTAATTGAAATATAGTGACCTCAAAATGGGCACTCAGAAACACATTTAGACACATTAAGTATTATTACTGTGAATACTGTCTTATTTTCAAATACAGTGAGCACATGTGATTGTTTTAATGTTTATTGGAAGCTGTTGGCATTTAGTCTTTGTGCGTTTAGAAATACAGCTTAAAATGTCAGAAGTTCTTGGATATAGCTCATGTAGAAGATTACACAGCAATAGAGGATGAATTAGTGCTTCTTAATCATAAGACAATAACTTTAGTATGTTTTTTCTTCAAATTTGAAATTTAATGCATACTTTAATATAAGGCATAAAATATTTTCACTCTAAGGGAGAATAATAATCTTCTAAGTGGCCAAACATACTCCAGGTTCCTAAAATCAGCATGGTGAGATTTTATTCTAATTTTAATTGTCCTAATTATAGAAAAGAGCTTCTTTCCAGGACCCACTGTCTCATTAGCCCATCTTTAAGATAAAATATGAACTGACTAAAGGATTATCCTCAGTTTAAGTATGGACAGTGGAATGTAAGGAACATAGATGTGATTCTTTAACAAAGACTTGTGTCATGGGTCAAGCCACAGTATAAGATAGATAAGTTACAAAATGGATTGTCAGTTGTCTTTACAAGGCATAAAATTCTTTGGCTCAATCCTACTTTCAACTGAGAGAAGTCAATAAGGAAAATGTCAGTGGTCTCTCTTACAGGAATACTGTAGAAGACTTAACTATACTCTGCTTTTTTATATCTTTTTTTTTTGGGGGGTGGGGGAAAGCAGGATAAATCATGCCATTTGTTTCAGCTTCATTTAAAAATAGTTTCTGCCTTAGCACGCATGGGAGCCTACAGTTGCAAAAGCTTTTTTGTCAGTGAGCTGTTTCACATTGCTAGTGAAATTCCAAACTGGAAAAAATACACATTTGATGTGTGTTAGCTTTCTGAGCTTTCTGTTCTGTGTGGCATTGGTCATCAGACTACAGCTGAGCTGTCTGAGTGCAGATTATGTCCTTGCTGTGAAAACAGTGTACCATTGCTTTTAGCCAGAACATTGGAACACTCAGATTCTTCACTGTTACTCATATGTTCCTGTCAGGAGCACTCAGATGGCTTTTTGAACACATCAGGGCTTGATTCTGGAAGTGGTGAGGTTTTTTGACAGTGTCCATTTTTTTTCCATTCTATAGATTGAAATATATAGCACTGGCAACTTTAGTCTAAGTAACTTAGTGATGTTTATTTGAAACAGAACCTCTACAAAAGTGAGGTGGGGGTGAGTGGAGGGATGGAGGGTGACTTTTAAATCTTTTTTTTGTTTTTAAATTAAAATTGTATAAGTTAATGTTGGGGGGGTGGAAATACTGTTCAAATATGAGTGTTCAAAAAAATCTTAAAAATTAAGAATAGTGATTCAAAATTATCAACATAAATGGAAAAAATCCACTTGGCTATTCTTTCAATAAAGCTTTTCATGGTTCCTCATGATCCTAAATGCACAAGCTAACCTGAGAGAGGTTCTTTAAGGCAATATTATCATTATTATCACTAAGAATGGAAGAATTCCTTTAGCGAACTTCTGCTTTCAGTACCAATGTCTTTTTTAACCAAGTACAGCACATCCCTTTCCTCTTCTCTGTCTCCTCCCCACCCTTACGGCTTCTGCTTGCAGCAAAGCTGCCTGTGAAATCTTTATTCTTTCATGGAATTTTCTTTGATTAGACCAAGAGAGGAAGAATTCTGTAATTGCTTGTCTGAATAACACTGATCACATGACTCCTTAATTCCAGCTGTCCTAGCTGAGCACTGCAGCAGAGTATTTTCTAGAACTGGTTTTTTTTTTTTCTGAGCCGTTCTTAATCCCTAAACTAAGATTATTTCCACCAGAGTTCTTGGTGTTATAAACTTGAGTTTGATAGTTCCAAAAGTGGTTTGCAAGGGGATATCTTGAAAATTGTCCACACAACTAAACCGTAGTACATCCCTGAAGACAGGAAATGTGCAGCACACTGAAGATGACGGTGGCTTTTTTTTTCCCCTCCTAAATCATGTTGGAAGTTTTCCATATATGTTCTGAGATCTCTTTAAAAATATAAATGTTATACTTCAGCATCTAAATGATGTAGTAGTTGTGATATATACTGGTGTACTAACGTTTTGTGTACATGTGCATTTACTCTTGGAAAGATTAGCTATGAAAGAGTGGGAGGACTCCTTGCCCAGTCCACCCACAGGTATTAACAGAAGCTTTTATCTTGATTACATAAGTTCTCAGATTTGTCCTATGGTATTATTTCTCAAAAATAGTTGTCTTGATAACCTGTATTTTTCTTCGTATTCTCCATAGATGCTGCCCTTAGGAACTGTGTGTTTCTCATCTCTTGATAATCAGAGAAAAATTTTCAAATTTATTGTTATTCTGAGTTGAAAAGGGAACATAAATCTCGTATGTTTTAAAGATCAGCTTAGATTAGTTTTCCTTTAGCTGTTTAACTTTTCCTGCTTTCAATCAAGAAACTGCAGCCAGGCATCTTTTCTACAAGCATTTATACTTTTGTACCTAGGAGTCATAAAAGGCAGAGGACATTCTCATCAGCAGCATTGAGTATATTTAGATACAGAGAGAAAACACTAGCAGACAAAAGTTAAGGGTGCAGATTACTATTTCCTAAATCTTTTGATAACAGAGTTGATTTTCAGGGCAGCTGTGGATTTCATTCATCACCATTTTTTCAGGTTTTGTTATGGAATTTATTCTCTGCTTCTAAGATTTTATATTTTTTTTACTTTAATTGTTATTCTTGCATTTTTGTAAGAAATGACTATGCACTATTCTGCCCCTATCAGACCAAGTCTCAAGCTCTCATTTACCAACAAATTTACCATCTGTTTCTCATTTAATGGTATGAATCTAGCCAGGAAGATGCTTCAAAATATTTGTGCTCTTTATTATGGACACTATGTGATATATACAAATAGCTAACTTTCAGTTGGAGGGAATCATAGGTGAAGAACAGGAGAGAACACTAAATAGAAGAATCCCAGTGATTGTATTCTTTTGGAAAAGAGTAAGGTGTAGAAGGATCTTGGCATTGAAGTTGAGCTGGAATCGCAGCATAATGAAAACTGGCATTATATACCCCCACAGGCACATATAATGTTCCCTACTCCTGAACAAAATCAGAAACAGAGATTTAGCAAATCTCTGAAATAGAAAGGCCTCTTGTAACAATTTTTAAAAGGCTGTTGTAAGGTAAAAGATGCATTCTATCAATAGAAAATGATACTGAAAACCAGAGGTAAATTAGTATAACTAGTTTTAACTGTAATCTATTGGTTCTTTTTTTCCTGCAGATAAGCAGCAAAGATGAAGACTTCTTAGACCTTTCAGTTGATGTGGAGCAGAATACTTCAATCACACATTGTTTAAGGTAGATGCAACAATCTGAATTTTTGTAATTTGTCTTTTATCTGTTATCCAGAAAGGAGTAGGTAAAACTAAAAACTTACAAGCTTAGTGAAGTTTAGCTTTTTGTTAAGAGTGTAAAATTATGTTTATAGTGTACATATTTACATGTATATTTCAGGTAAGAAACTAATATCTAGAGCATTTCTTTTTCTTTTTTATTCAGGGGTTTCAGCAATACAGAAACTCTGTGCAGTGAATACAAATATTACTGTGAAGAATGTCGCAGTAAGCAAGAAGCACATAAAAGGTACATCAGACTCAGGGAGGAAAAAAAATAACCTACATATTTCATGAAAATGCTCCTGTATTTGCTTGTGTGTGTGTATGAGGCAGGGGGAGAATGTTCTTTTTCCCTTAACTTTTCTCACCCTTCTTCCACTTAAGAGTAACTTGGTTACATTCCTCTTGATTGAATTCAATGAGCCTGCTTCCATGAGTAATGAGAATCCATATAAAGCATTTTGGGACTCCTTTGAATCACTGTTTATTTTAGGAACAAGAAAAAAAGTGTTCTTAAGACCAAAGATAAGTTAAAAAGACAAGTTAAAACAAACTACCAGTGACTAATCAAAGATTATGGGTAATGATGAATAGTCACTGATTTCATGTGACTTTTTAAACTTGGTTTTGTCTTAATAATAAAATATTTTTTCCAGTTGCTGTAAGAATCACTTTGATAGCACTTTTTTCTGATTCAGTCAGAATGAGGCTTGCAACTTTTTTGTTAAGTGAGTTTCTTGTTTCTTAAAAGTGCGTAATTAGTTGTGCTAAACTTCTGCGGGACAGTGCTCCTGGAAAGCATCAGAAGCTCTGTGGAAGCCTGAAATTCATTATTGTTAAAAACTATTATTGTCTGCCTCATAATTCTTCTGAAAAACCTCTGATTCTGTGTACTATGTGGTATTTACTATGTGAGAAAGTATTTGTTTGAAGAGGTGGGAACACTGACATGCTCTACTGGTTATACCACTGATCCTGGTTATTTGGTTTACTATGGATTCGGCACATGGCTTTTGGCACATCTCATCTGCAAAGTCTGCCTTCACACATTGCCTAAGCTCACTAATTGGAGTGTATTAGAGGGTGGTGAAGCCAGGTCTGTCCCGTTGTTTTCTCTTGCCTTGGCTCTTTTTCTGTGTGGGAGGTAATGTGATCCTTGACCAATATAAGCTGTGTTGACATAAACCTGTACTGTAGGCACCGCCATATTGGCAAAACACAACTTTTATTGTTTGTATTTTGCTTTCCATGTTGGGTGTAAGTTCAGTTTCACTACAGTCATAATTTTCTTCCATCTTTATAACATGGAGCTCATGTGTGGTAGTGTCTACTCAACTAGCAAAGGTGGCGTACTGAATTTTTTCACCAGTGAAAGGTGAAGGTGAAGTGTCAAACACAGATGCATTTTGAGAAGAGGACTTTCATTTTGGAAAATGAAGAAGCAGAAATTATATCTGTACCTCAGTAATATAATAAAAATATAAATCTCCCTAAAAATAGTTGCTTCTGTCATCTTCCCTTGCCATGGAGAAAGTTAACCTAGCAGGTTTAACCTAACCCCCTATCAGAGTTTCGTACAGGTTACTGTCAGTCTAAATTTAATGAGAAAAAAGGAAGAAAAGTGTGTTTTCAATGGTTTTGTCCACAGCCCCCTATCTTTTGAAAAAGGATAGTCTGGTACAAACATTTCCTGGCATTCTAAAAATATGTTCTTAGTAGACATATCTGAAACCTGAGCTGTATTTTTGAGACTTTTAAGCTACCTTTGGGGGCTGAAGCCATTTTGAAAAATTGAACACAGTGCTGATCTAAGGCAATTAGCTGTGCCATGAAGCAGAGCACTTTAGCCTAGTCGTTCTGTTAGTATGGGCAAATTTATTGCCCAGAGAGTGAAATTCTGTTCTTGCTGCCAGGCCAGCTGTGGTGGACTTAGGAGGATTTGTAGGCACTGATGCAAGATCTCAATACCTCAAACTAGGAAAGGGAGCCCTCAATAAAACTAGATTATAATTTTCTGGCTTTGACTACCATAAAATAATGCTGCAACATTTGTACAAAATTACTGTGCTAGAGCACAGCATTAGCTTGGTTAGGTAGCATGAGGTAAGGTGAGTAACAGTGGGCTATTTGTATCCCTTGGCAGTGTTAAATGAATGGCTTGATATGAAAACTTGGAGTAATACATATGTAACAAAGTGGTGTAACTATATTAAAAAGCTTGTTTGACTTGGCTGGTTTACTGAGAAATTCAACTGGAACGGGATCTCTGGAACAACTTTGTTCCAATACCTCTGCTGTATACCAAGTGGGATCTAGGTTTTGCTTTTGGGAACTCAGGAGAGCTATGAGGAGGTGTGTTTAAAAACTGAGTTCTGTGCTATGCAGTCATCGTGTCTAAATTATTATGTGGCTTCATCATGGCTATTCTTCTTCTTATATATTATAATAACAATATTTGTTAAACAGCTGATTATTTGTGCATCTTTTAATACTTGGAAAAATTTTTGAAGACTTCAGTAGAACAGGTTTCCTCTAAAACTAAATGTTTTGACTGGATATTGGAAATATTGTTGGCTTTTTGGTTTTGTTTTTTTTTTCAGGATGAAAGTAAAAAAGCTGCCTATGATTCTAGCTCTCCATTTGAAGAGATTTAAGTACATGGATCAGCTGCATCGATACACAAAACTCTCTTATAGAGTAGTTTTTCCTTTAGAGCTTCGTTTATTTAACACTTCAGGAGATGCCACAAATCCTGACAGAATGTATGACCTTGTTGCTGTGGTAGTTCATTGTGGAAGGTAATAACTCTGTTTTACACAAGGGATTTTTTGTATAAGCTTAACTGTGTTTAAAAAACACTCAGTATCATATAACTCTAATAGCATTTAAAAACCTCTTAAAAGAAAAGTTTCTTAGGAAAGAAAGCATTGTGAAGAGATTCTGACAGAACGTGAGACTTCGTTGCCATGATAGTTCCTTGTGAAAAGTGATAACAGTGTATTTCACATCACAGATCTTTGTATGAGCTATGTTTAAAAAACAACACAAAACATGCAATATTCTATAACTCGAATAACATTTAAAGGTAATTTTTTTAAAAAAGGTTTCTTAGGAAGAGAAACATTACAGAACAGATTTCCTTTAGGGTGCTGTGGGGTTTTTTTAAGGCTTGAGAAACATTTTCTGAAATATATCTGTATATTATGAGTTTTGTTGATTACTTTGTTTCCTTGCTTTCAGAATATGACTGTTAAATTTGTATTCCGTTTTGCTATATTCAACAAATGTTCTTGTGGCTTTAAGTCTTAAAATCAGGGCTGCTCTACAAACTGCTTATTGATAGATAATACCCTGAATTGAAAATTATGATTTAACATCTAGAATCATAGAATAATTTACATTGTGAGGTCAACTACGTAAAGCTCAAAGCAGGGGTAACTTTGATGTTAGATTACTGCTTTCAGTTTTGTGACTGGGAATGCTGATTTTGCTGCCTCTTTGGGCAGCTTGTGCCAGTCCATCAAATGTTCTCACAAGGGTTTTTGTGGTTTTTTCCTATATACAGTCAGAATTTCCCTTGCTGCACTTTGTGACCACTGCTTCTTGTCCTTCCACTGTACATTTATGAGAAGAGGCTGGCTCTGATTTCTTTATAACTCTTCCTTTTTGGGTAGTGGAAGACAGCAGCTGGAGTCCTCATTTGGTCTTCAGGCTAAACAAAGCCAGCTCTCTTCATCCATCTGGTGCTGTAGCCCTCTGACAAATGTAGTGGCCTGCTACTGGACTTCTTCCAGTTTACCAGTCTCTCCCTTAACTGTCAAGGTCATGTCTGGAGTCCCATGTCGAGTTCTGGGTCCCAGAATGCAGAATGGTGGGGATTATCACATTGTTGATGGCTCTACCCTTACAGTACAGCCCCACAGAGTCCTGTCACCAAAATTATGCGCTGCTGGCTAACAGCGCAACTTTTTGACCTTCTGAACACACCTAGCCAGTTGTTTCGTGACTGGTGCTGTTGGATGGAGATAATCTGGCACAAGACTTTGCATTTGTATTTGTTAAACTTCATGAGGTTCCTATCAGCCCGTTCCTCCAACTTCTCGATGTCCCTCAAAATGACAGACCTGCCCTTTAGTTGCCAGTTACTGCCTTTTGTCCCACCCACCCCTCCATTCCTCCCTAGGTAGACCTAGGATTACAGTAGAGTTAAGATGACTAGATCCCAAGTTGGCCAGGACAGTTATGGAAAATAAGCCTTTGTAGAATAGTTTTCTGGGATACTCTTATTCTGGATTTTGGGGAAAATCCATTTTATCCATTTCTGACCGTTCTGTCTAATTCTGACCATTTTTGTCTCCCTCATTCAAGCTGCGGTCATGGGAACTTATCCATTCTCAAAGCCATGACAGGAGACAAGCTGTTTTCATTGAATTATGTGATTTGGTACACAGGTGTGGCGTTCAGAGATGTCAACCTTCCCTCTCTGTTCTAGACATAAAAATTGCATTAGTGCTGTTAGCCGGTTAAGGCAGTTCCAGGACTGCTGTAACTAGCTGTCCACTTTCAGTTGTAAGGTTCAGCTATTTCAGAAAGTGTATTATTTCCTTACTTGAAATCTGATTAGATTTTTCTGTCATAGTTGTGGAGAAATTTCTTGTCTACCATAAACTGAAGAGCTGTGCATTACCACAGTTTTAATTTGGTTCTGAGCCCTTCTTATTGCTGTGAGGGTTCTTAAGGCTTCTAAACAGTCATTGTAGTTCAGTTTTGTGTACAGTGGGCCAGATAAAGACATTCCCAATGGAGATTGTAGAAGCTCTACAGCTTTTTCTTTCTGAAGATTGGAAATAGTTTGGGGTGAGAATGTTTTCTTGATTTCACTTCTCTGTCTCTTATTTTGTTTTGTTGTAATTTCATTTATATTTTTATGCTTGTGCTGTTTATTCCTAATTTGAAATTATAATCCTCTTTTTAGCACAATGTTAAATGTAGAGATAAGTGAGACCTCATTATGAAGATGGTATAAGTGGGGGGGAAAAAAGAGAAACATACAAAAAAAAATTTAGTGTCAGCCCTTTTAATTACTGTTAAGTATTGCTTTTCTACAATAAAAAAGCCAATGTAATGAAACACATTTCTACATACATGTGTGTTATTGTCTGTGTTCTTTTCTAATTTTATTTTACAGTGGCCCTAACAGAGGACATTATATTGCAATAGTGAAGAGTCATGATTTTTGGTTGCTTTTTGATGATGATATTGTTGAGGTAAGCTTTGTGTAACCCTGGACTATTTTCTCATACCAACCAGAGTGCATGCACCTCCGTTTTGTATATGATTACTTAAAGTAAAAAGGGTTTAACCCTAGTCTAACTGGCAGTAACTGTGAGCGCAGAGCTGTGCCTTACAATTTGACTGTACAATACTTTGAATTACATTTTGGTTTTAATACTTCTTAAAAGAAGCTCCTTTGTTTATGACCACTGTCTTTCACCTTTGTTTAATAAGCTGGTCCTATCACAACCAGACATGGGCAAATAAAGATAGAGAAAACGTGGGTTTACTGCAATTATTTTCTGAGGGCAATTTGTTGGAGCAAGCCATATGATCCATTTAGGAATGGATCAGATCAGGATGGAATGGATCAGTCTGGTAGTCTGTTTTATTGAGTACCCTCGATTGTTTTAGACAAAGGTGTAACAAATACCAAAATAGGAAAAGACTTCAGATTTTTAAGGTTTTGTCCTAAAATTGAAAAGTTAATCCCTGAAACAGAAGCCTTTTGCTTTTGGTTGTATTCTTACTAATATTAGCCATGCTTCCAGGAATTCTTAGTATTAAGGAAAAAAAAAAGATTTCCAACTAATTTTTTGAACAGCAGTTCACCAGTTTTAACTTTGTCATCTTTCTGTTTCATCACTTATCTTTTATTCTTTATTAAGAGAGTGGAAACTGCTGGTGTCCCTATATTATATCATCTCAGGTTTTTTACTTGTTCTATAATCTTCCTTTTTTCCCCTTTGTCTATGTTCTGCGTGAATAAAAGTATGATTGTGCTGTCCAACTCCTTTTCCTGACTTTATTTCAATTAATTAAATCTGTAAAATGAATAGTTTACATTTTCCTTACAATACACAAGAACTGCATAATTAAAAAGAAAAAGAATGAGGCAGATGCTGGAATTACATTGTTAATTGGCAGGGCAAGTAAAAGAGTATTGAAGAGTTCTTCCCTCCAAGCCACATTGTGGGCACTTTTTCACACAGGAAATAACAAACATGGAAATACACAGAGCTGTTGGGAAAATAGATGGATTGCCTCTGTGTCTTATCAAGATACGCAGTAAACTGAAGTGTCTCGATAGGGTCAAAAGTTCATTTTCCTCCAGGGAAAACAGAGAGATATAGTAGATCTCACATGATTTCGCAAACATCAGGGACAATCTCTCCAGTTACAAAGCTCTAACACCTGGCAGTAATGTATTTTTTTTCCTCTTAGCCCTTCTAAAGAGAGAGGAAAGAATCTTTTTGTTCTCAGACTTAAAACATTTCGTTGACACTTAGGCCCATGGTTCATGAAGTTGGAATGGCTCACACCTTCCCAAGAGAGGTTTTATTCCAAGTAATGGGAATTAGATTAAATAAAATCTGCTTAAGTGAAGGAAAACTTAGCTTTTTCACCTTTTTCTTATTTGTGGCCTAAATTTCCCTTGATTTAAAATGTGGCAAGAGAGCTTGCTTTCAGTTTCTTTTGTAATTGAATATGATGACAATGAAAACCAGACAATACTCTTTTCATCTTCCTAGCAGAAGTTTTGGCTTTTTCCACAGAAATCTTGGTTATAGGAGGCTTTCCAAGCTAACAGGATCACAAGCAAACATTGTGTGAAAAACATAGAGGAAGTTGGCCTTTGTTCTCTGCCTTCTCCTTATTCTCCTCTGCACTTGGTTGTCTTACACTGCTTAGATTTGGAAATGATAATCTGCACTTGAATTCTTCATATTGAATTTGAAGTCTCAATGGGATATTGTTGTCTTTGAAACTTTTCTATGTGGAATTCATACAAGCAGTGCACATAAGGTTGTACTCATACTACACTCAATAATTAAAAATTGATATATAAAATGTATATATCCACTACCCTCTGCACAGCTGGTGGCAGAGGGCAATCCAAAACCTATCAAGTTTAAAAATTATTTGGATTTTATTACTATATGTAACTAAATGAAAGTTATTTTTGTTTGACAATAGTTTTTAGAGTGGAACTTAATGTCACATATATATTATGCAAGATATTCTTACTTTAAATTTGTGGTTTTTTGCATACAGAAAATTGATGCACAAGCTATTGAAGAATTCTACGGGTTGACATCAGATATCTCAAAGAACTCTGAATCTGGTTACATCCTCTTCTATCAGTCTCGTGATTGAGGGGGAACTGTGGTGAAGAGATTTTTATGCCTCACATCTTTTCTATCTTGGAATGAAGCAAGCACTGAAGAAAAAAGGAAAGCAGGGAGGAGCTCCAGGGGCAGTAGCACAGTTTGCACACAACTAAGCAAAGAGTTTGGGATTCTTAAAACCTTTGTATCATTTTCATTTTATTTCCTCAGGTATCATGCTGACTACACATCTCCACTGCATCCCATAAGCAAAAAGAGAGATACCAGCCACTCTTGCAGGAGCTTTCTGTTAGGTAATACTATCTCTGTGGTCCTAATTCAAAGCCCTTTAAGATCACTGGAGCACCTTTCATGGACTTCGGTGAATTTGAATCAGGTTCTAACTGCACTGCCAGATTGGTGTAACAGGAGCATTAGAAATCTGTATTTTATACAGACTTCGTGTATAAAAGGTAAAGGACTCTTTGTGAACTTAGTTTCCTGTGCTTAAGTTTAGAAGAATTAGGTTGAAAGGGTTAACATATAAGCAAGAAGATATATCTGGGCCCAACACAATTGCCTTCTTGATGGTAGTAGTTTAGCTGAAGATATGAACTGGTGTCAGGGAGGCAAGTATGTTTTGCTTCTCTGAAGAAGCTTACGTTATTTATAATGTATGATCGGGAACAATCAGTCAAGATTATGGCTTTTAATCTCCGTATGGGGAAAGATTTGGTTTGTAATGGTTTATTTTTATTTATAAATTATTGTAACTTAGGATTTTGTGTATTGTCCTTTATTCTAACAAGTATTGGACATTTTTTATATTAATTTGAATTAAAACTAATTATGCACAAATATTAAAGAAGAGCCAATATAAATTCTAAAAACAATGCCTACAATGTCTGCAAAAAAAATAACACAGAAGAGAGATTTCCTTCTGGAGGAACTGGTATCTAAGTGAGGTACTTTATTTAATTAAATTAGAATATCCTCTTTCCATTAATGAGTGAAAAAAGTGATCAAACTATTACATAGTTTCATAAGAAAATGATGGTGCAGCGGTGGTATACTGGTCTTTATAGTTCTTTAGTAATTTGTTAATGTTTCATACTCTAAGCAAATTAGAATTATTTGGATCTAAGTAAACCATTTTCAGGGTATTATTTCCTCTCCTAAAAATGGATTAACTTCTGTTCTCAATGGCATGGGTGACTATCTTAAAAACCACTCAAGGTCTCAAGTAGAAGTTATGTCTGAGTAATAAAAAGAAATAAGCCTGTAATTTCATGAGATGGAAGATACCACATTTCTTTAAAAATAATAATACTCAAGTCCTATAGGGTGAAGCGTTCTGAAACCAAGCAGTTTACCTTGCTTCAGATTTATGAAACAGCATTAAGAATTACATCTTGACAAAACACCTGATATGTAAGAAATGAAGTGTTGTGATTTGACGTTCTTCCCCTTCCCAGTACATTGTTTGACAGTAGCTGAATGTAATTTCTGGAAAGTCATGGGATGTGCATTCCAGATTATGGCAATCAGGTCTTGGATGTCCTTGTCACTCCCTCGTCAGCTGGTGATTTTTACATTATTGTCATTTTCTAAGGTAATTTTATTGATGCTGTTACAACTTTTAAAAAGAATGTCTGCTGTCTGCTGCTATAACTGACTATTTACTTACCTGTATCTTTTAGCTCAGGAAATGACTTCACCTATTCACTCAGTTGAACAAATCTTTAACAGGGTCATTAAATAAATTGGGCTATTTAGGAACTATCACACTGTAACAAATTGCTTTTGTAAAATGTAAAGTTTCTAAAGCCTTGGTTTGGCTAAAATTCTTTTGTAGAAATTTATGTATCATGATTAAACAACCAGCATTGTAAAGTAAAGCTTAAATATTGTGGGAGATGCAGAAAACACGATTGGATTTTTCTTAAAGGATTCAAATAATTTTAAAAACTTTTTTCATCTTTCAGTTGGAAAAAGGTTAAGGAGTGAATCAGTTGGATAATGGTGCATGTTAGAAGGATGAAGTCCTTTGCATACTAAAGGTACAGCATTGTAAAAGAACTGTCACATTACTTTTTGCTAATTGAAAATGTTTGGTCTTTTTTTTTTTTTTGGTGTAGTTAAAAGCTGAGGCTAGTTGCTAAATATTTTATACCCTGACAAAATCTAAAACATTTTTGTTGTATCACTGGTTTTACTCCTGCAATGTATTTTTATAAGATACTGACTTTTATTTTGTAGAGGGTTTTTGAGATAGTATTCCAAATTATATATTTCATTTTTCTTTTAGTGAAGCTGAAATAATTGTAAATTCTTAATTAAACTGATATCAGAAACTGCAACTTAAACAAAAAAAAAAAAAAGAAAAAGAGGCAAGGAAGTCTAAAATATAACTGATTGGTATGTAAAACATTATAGGATTTTTTTCTTGGCTGTAATACAGTGGGGATTGTGGGAAAGTTGACAGTTGTTGTAAATGGTGGAAATTATTTGCTGTGTAACTATGTAAATGTTAATTGGGACTACAGTTCCCTATTTTGTATATTGGAGAAAAAACTTATATTAAATAAACTATGTTCTTAAAAGGTAAGTACTGCATCCTTTGTGGAGCCTGAACGGTCAATCAGCTGCCTTTTGTGCGTTTCAGTGTTTTTGAACCTAAAAAGTATCTGGAATTTCCTGTATTAAGCTAACTGACCTGAGCCATGGAGGGAGAGATGTGTTTAAATGCACTGCATTATCTCTCTTTCTAGATGTGTCGTTACGAAAATAGTTCAGTGGCAGCCACATTCGGTGGTGCCCTTCTCCAGAATTACTTTCTAAGGTAGAGGAAAGGGAGTGTTTTGTAATACTGTTCTTTCTTGACTTCCATTTCCTCACAAGTACCTTGGCATAAAATATGCAGCTTAGTTACCCAAGGGATTTCTTGGATTGCCACCTTGTGGGAAGGAAAACGGAAGGGAAGAAAAATAGGAGTGCTTACAGCGCTGACATACGAGAGACTGACCAAAGAATGGGAGTCCAGCATGAGAAGAAGATGCAGCTTGTTACAGTATCCATGTATGATTTGCTATCAAGTTTTTCTTCACCTGGAGTGTACACTACTGTTTGTAATGAATATGTGTACTTGCAGTTTTACAAACAGTTCATAACCTGCCATATTTGTAGTTTTGACACCCACATCCATAGCTTTTCATTGCATCGAAATAGTGACTTCTATGTGTTCAGGTACTTGTATGAACAGTTAAATGGAATTGTTTTCAGAAGTTAGTCATAAAAGAGGTTGCATACAGCACATAGGGATTTGATGATGCTTCAGATCTTCTGCATAACCCTTTGACACCTGCATAGGACTGGCAGGTATAACAAGACATCCACAGAAGGTCTGTATCCTTCTGGAGCAGCGGCTTGAAGCCAGGCAGGACATCCATGGTTGTCTCAGTGTTTCCATAAGCACTATTGCATATACACTGTTTGGGTCTTACACAGATGGAAGTCTGTTTCTTGGTTACTTCTTTGTGGTGATGCTTGTAAAGTTTAAAATCTGAAGTATCTGAGGCCTCTAGTTACTTTCATGATTCCCTTATTAAAATTAAAGGAACTTCATCTTGTGCTATTTGGTCCTGTCTGTCAGCTGTAGGTTTAAAATGTTCATGCGTAGTCTTATTATTAAGCTCATCCTTGTAACTAAAAGAAATTTTGATATGTGAAATCAGTCTTCATTTACCAGAACTTACTTAGCTTTGTTTCTTCTTACCTTTTCCTACAGAAACTTTCGGTTGCACTGAACAGAAAAATCTTAACTGTCTAAAGTTAATATCATAAATAGATCCTTATAACTTTCCTCATAACTGTTCATTCAAAAGTAGTAGTTGTCTGTTAACATACTGTACCTCCACAACATGGATTATGTTATGGGGATGAACTCTCTTACACACAAAGCTTTGTCTACTTACACACATGAAGAGGTGACATCTTTTTTTGTTCTGTTTAACTGCTGGCTTTGTTCAGCGACAGAATTCAGCTTGAGTTGAAAAACTGAAAGTGGGAGCTTTTAGAAAGTGTTGAAAATGCTGAGGATGCAAAAAATTGTTGAGTGCTGGTTTGTTTGGGTTTTATTGGTTTTGGGTTTTTTTTAAGTTGCCTAAAAGCAGTTATTTGAAACTGTATTAATAGATTAAACCAGCAGTACATTTATCTCTTCGGTTACCTCTACCTGTAAGAGGAGAAAACTTCATTTCAGTACTTGTTAGTAATCTGTGGGCTGCAGTATTACATTGCAGATAATTTTTGTGACTTTTTTTTTAGAAGTTTAAATAATCCAGATAGTTTGTTTGCTTTCAGAAAGTGGCTTTATAGTGTAAGCTGTCCACTTCCCCCCCAGCCCCCATTTGTCTGGGTTGATCTTAGTTTGTGTGTCTTAGAAATTCAGTCTCTGTTTTCCCTCTTGATCATGTAATATGCACATTTTATGGTTTCTGTCTTGTGAGGCTTCGGAGTCCTCTAACCTCTGCCAGCATACTGTGAGATGTATTATACATTAGTCTCTTCACATTCCAGCATCCAAGTACTCCATTACTACTGAAATTAATATTCTACATAATCTGTATTCAAGAGTTGTTCATTTTGCAGTAGCTTTGCTACTGACTGATTGTTATAAATGAACTATGCAAGTCAACTACCATGCAAACAAACACAGACTTCATCTTTTAAATACAGAGATGTCTGGAATCTGTTGTTTCCATTTTTTAACGGTAGAGTGTGGTGAGGCAAAAATAAACTTTCTTTGGTCTATATTAAAAAATGCAAAATTGTCTGCCTCTTACCTTTTTTTTTTTTTTCTTAGGTGAGTTAATTTTTAGACTAAACCTAACAATCTGCTGATATGGTTGATGAATCCCTCTGGGGGATTCCTTTGTGCAAGAATGTGTTGGTTGTATGAGGAGTGTTTGTAGACATCACCAGTTTTGAACAGAACTCATTAATATCTTCTGGTTTCTTCCCCAAAATACAAATAAATTATATTCTCTCTTTACCTGTAATAGCTTGTGATTACTGCCTGCATAAGAGATTGTAAGGGCTCAGAAAAGGGCAAGGTAGTTTCTGCCTGGCTCTGTACAGAGCTCATGTTGGCAGCATTAGGGAGCTTTAATTACAGAAGGATCATCAGTCATGTCCTTGATCTGCATTCTGCAGGTTATGTAATCCAGGAGAGAAAACACGCAGCAAAATCTGCCAGAGAATATGGAGGAGTAGCCTTACAATTACTAACATACTAGATATAAAAGCAGCATTTCCTAAAATACAGTGTTTTATCTTTAATGCAGATTTCTGGTGTTGGGAGTATTTAAGGGGTGCTCAGAACATCTTGCCATTCAAGGCTTTTGTTGCTTGTTAGAAAGTATTGCTTTTATGTGTGTGTTTTATTTGCTATTTAAGCCTATATTTGAAATTTGCATCTGTACCCAAATTTGTTAGGTTGATGTGATTGTAAAAATGAGTGCTCCTCCAGAAAAAATTTATGCATATATGTCAATCAGATGGAATATATTCTTTAGTCTGATCTACAAAGCATTTTCAGCTATTAGC